CAAAGTAGAAAGTGAATATGAATATAATGGATAATGAGCAGGAATTTTGAATCTCTTCCTGTGGCGTTCTTGCAACCTTTTCCATGACATCAGATAAGTGAAGGATTTAAAGCTGATGCGAGAATTCATTTGAACGTGTCTTTGCAAATATCACGCACATGAAGACTTTATATTCACATTTTCGTCTACTAAAATAATTGAAATTGGTGAGCATTTTGAAACACATAGAAATCCAGTCATGACAAGTAGTTTCTTAAATATTTAATGCAAGCTATAAAATAAATATTGGAATGTGTAAATAAATAAACGTTGAAACTTCAAACCTAGTACGTAAAATTTCCTATTCAAACAAATCTTTGTTGCCTTTAACCAAAAGCAAATTAACGTTTGTTGCTAAAGCAAAATTCATGCGTAAATATCGTGAAACTTTATATTTCCATCCCAGTAAAATTGACTTTTAACATAGCATTCATGGATTAGTCAGCTTTATCAGTATGTGGAAGTGCCTTTGTTTATTGTCATTTTATGTTTCACAGGTTATTTGGGAGCTTGGACAGCAGGAGGCGCCTTTTAAATTGGCTGTTGAAAATCTGCGACCCGACTTAGTGAGGGTTGACATGCCACCAATGCCAACGTCATCACCGCAATCGATTCCCACGCAATTGCGTAGGAAACGCTCTTCCATTGCTGCTGATTCACAGTGGTTCGGATACCATGGAGATGCCACTCTGAGGAGGGATAAGAAGAATTCGACACAGCCTCCCCAATCTCGACCAGAATGGCTTGGACCAACTGTGTTCTTACTTCGTGAGGATGAGTCTTTCATTGGTAAGACTTTGAATATGGCCCTAATATGGTCAAAAATGATGAGTATGTTCAATGAAAGGGCGAAAAAATTGATATTTTCACTGTGTGTTAGTTTTTCATGGACAAGCTCAAAATCGTTTGCCTATAGTGATCACATAATATGCGTAGATTTTTAAGTGTCCGAAAACCTTCCTACATATCCACCTTTCCCTTTCCCTTTCAATGTTCATGTTAGCATTTTTAAATTGAATATGTTTCAGTCATTTTAATGAGTTCGTTTCCGCTGAGATAAACGAACAGATTTCAGAACATAATGCGTGACCACAAATATGGAATCGAATCGTTAACCTTTGGCCAATACAGATGGATGTAATTCGTCAACCCGTGTACTTGACCCGTTTTTGGGTGTCTATTGAAACTGTATTTAATTGCAAAATCGCATTTTTGAAATCTCTGGTTTGGCAGAAAATGAATAGGTTCGAATGATTAAGACTGCAGACTTTAATGAATTAAACTTTTGGCGGAATATTATAGTGCATTTACTCTAAGACATTTTATGAACTTTTCAAAAATGGTGTATTTTAAACCACGAAGTTTGTTTGTAGCAGGTTTAGCTCGAAATTCGCATCTGCGGTGTACACAAACAAAATTATCAAATTGAAATCCAATGTGTTCACAGGGCATGGACCAACGGGTGATCACTGTGTCGATTGGCAAGTTTAGGACATCGAGATGGTGATATCCATTTCTGCAAGCAAAGCGACTGCTTTCTTCTGTCCACCATTGATAGTCGTTACCTTTTCCCTTTAAAATTTCTTTTTTCTTGATGAACACCATTTAGGCCTCACTTTCTATCATTTTACGAATGTAAATAGTCTTCATGCCATTCACATTTGGTGATAAGAATCGCGTAGGAAAAACGACAGCCAGGTTATCAGTTCTGTAGAATTATCTCATCTTGAGCACTTCACGCAGGTCATAAGATTTCAACTCTTGTAAAATCGAAATTAAACCGATTTGCCCTATTAAAAGAACGTTAATGACATCCAAGATTGAGAAAACTAATGTAGGCACTTTTGCTTATAATTCTTAGAATTCCAGAGAGGTTTAAAATATCACAATAACTTCGCTTATGAAGTTAGAAAAGGCTTCGACTCCTATTCAGACAATCATTTTGGTTCATTGCAGCTGAATGCTATTTGTTTTAAATATCAAGAAAACGCGGAATTTATAATGCATGTAAAATGAAAAGAAAGTGGAGATGGGGTTAGGCTAAAATAAAATTTAACGTTTAAAATTCTTTGGTGGTCATTTTCATGACAAAGGGCTCGATCTTTCATTTTGAGTATTTATTTATATCAAATGGCAGGCGTCTTGATGGTTACCATTAGCCCTTTAGTTGACTTCAGGCTTCACAGAGAGGAGGAGGAACATCAAATTGAAAAAAAGT